ATTACATCTATCACTACTAGCCCTGTTATAACTGTTCTTTACCAGACTCTGTTCTTTATAATTACATCTATTACTACTAGTCCTCATATAACTGTTCTTTACCAGACTCTATTCTTTATAATTACATCTATCACTACTAGCCATGTTATAACTGTTCTTTACCAGACTCTGTTCTTTATAATTACATCTATCACTACTAGTCCTCTTATAACTGTTCTTTACCAGACTCTATTCTTTATAATTACATCTATCACTACTAGCCATGTTATAACTGTTCTTTACCAGACTCTATTCTTTATAATTACATCTATTACTACTAGCTTTGTTATAACTGCTACCATTTACAGATTAACCTTCTTTTCCATCACCTCTATCCTATTTAAAACAGTCTCTAATTTCTCCTCCAACCTACAAACTCAACATACAAATTGTACTACGTCACTGCCATCTGAAGAACGTTTAATTTTTCTTAATTATTTGATAAATAAACTAAACCTACTATAAATCATATAAACATGGTAATGTTAAAACATTTATCAGTACAAGTGATCTCACCTTTCAAAATGGCATCACCATTACCTTTTTTAAGTGTCATAGAATAGTATTTTGACAATATGTTTTAAATATTAATTTATATGTAATAATTATAAATTGATTTCTGTAAGTGAGAAGTTGTTGTCTTTTTTGTGTATGCTGTTTGATTACAATTGACATAACAGCGTATTCATGTACAATATTATTAAAAAAGAACTTGTGCTATCTTTTTAGTTTGTTGCAAGCCTAACCTACTGTACTTGTTGATATCTGCAGTTGATGATGTGTTGGCATAGAATAATATATTCCTGTAGCCTTTCAGTAGGTACAGTACTATCACACAAAAACTTCAGGTATGAAAAAGAAATCACCAGGGGGAAAAAACTGCCTTCTAAATGCTTTGGAAGTTTTTAAAATGTATCTTGTTATTGCTTCATTGCTGTTGATTACCAGTGACCTTACTAAATTTCAGCTTTTAAAGTGCTCAACAATTTCCTCCCAACATTATTGTTTTCTTCACTAAAGAGCATTGAAGGTTAAAATCTCTTTCTGAAGAAATATAAGCCTAGGAAAGAGCTAAAAAATAAAACAAGTGTGGTGTTTACATTTCAAACACAAAGATATATGACAGAATGTAAGTTTTTATTCATGAAATAAATATTCCATATTGTTAAAGTATGAAACTTATGAAGAGTTTGGTTTGAAAAAATTCTTTAAATAATTAAAATTACATTTTTTTTATTAAACTGTTAATGTTGATTTGCAAACTTGCAAATGAGTCAGTAACCCTTTAGGCCAAAAATAGTTAACTTGATGCAAAATTCTGGGAGTGGTTGAAAGAAGGATTTTTTTTGTGCATATGGTATTGCAAGTACTTTATGAGCAACATATAATAGATAATGGAAGCCAAATGCAGTTCAAAAGTTTTTATCATTTTTCATTGCAGTTGAATACATGCATGAATGTACATGGTGCTCTGTATTTTATTCTTATTGAGTTCCCTTGTAGAACATGTCTTGTGTTCGGTGGGTGTCCAGTTGGTTTCAGTAAGCAGTATACAGCTTTTGTAGGAAGCATTAAGTTGAGCTGTTGGAAATGCTAAGCAGTGACACAGAACAACTATTATGTCTTACAATCTTTAAGATTTTTTGGTAGTACAAAAATGTTGCATACAGAATCAATGATGTCTTTATAAGCATTTTGTTTTTGTAACAAAAAATATTGGCATAAAGTATTATTGAGATAGTAATAATATTTGTTTGTAATTATTCATGTACTTGTAACATGATTTTTTTGCCCATAGACTGGAACTTTGACTGAAGAAGGATTAGATCTTTGGGGAGTAATTGAAGCAAAGAGTGGAAGGTGAGAAGTTTTACTGTTTAAAGGTAGCTGTTGACATTAAACACAGTCACTTTAGTTAGTGAGTTGTAGGTAGCAGTGTAATATTTTTACTGCCCGTTACCTTCCAAGGCACAGTTGGGTATTAATTTAGATTTTTTTTCTTGTATGTGGAGACTCTCTCAACACTGTGTTAATCATTCATAAATGATTTACCTGGTGAGTTATCCATCTGCTACGTTTAATATTGTTCATCCTCTATGCTGCTCTTTATGAATATTAACATTTGATTTGAAAACATATAACTTAGTCAGTTATTCACTGAGAATCATATTGTCAGAAATAAGTTTTTGGTCTAGCTTACATGCATATTTCTTATTTTTGAAAACACCTGCTTAAAAATACTTGAGGTGAAACTCACACTTTACTGGTTACCACTAGCTTTGAAGACATTGATTAGAAGCTCCAAATATGCAAAATGTTAGCTGGTTCATTTAATATATATTTTTTTTTTACATTGTATCTGAAACAGTCCATTCTTTTTATGGCCATTTGTAAAACAGGGTTTAAACTGGCCTGAAAGTTAGCTATTTTAGTAAAATTGGTTTTATTATACTTTTCTTTAGCTTTTAACAATTTGTTAAAGATGATGTTGTTTCCATTTATAGATCCAATAACATTTCCTTACAATGAATATTCAATTCCACAATTTGATAGATCTGCATTTCATTTAGATTCTCATTACTGTTATAAAGGTTTTTACCCATTTTCAAGTTTACCCAGTTTCAGCCTGTTTCTGTGCTGTGGTAGTTTTAAATAGTTAGTATTGCTTGTTACAATATGTCTAACCTAGATACAGAAATAAAAATCAGCAAGATACACTGTAATAATTTTGGAAATTTTGATCCAAAACTCTGATTTAGTGGGTACATGCTGTTTAATTCTATCCTGCAATCTTTGTGAAATGCGACCTACGTACCGACTTTTGCAGTGGCACAAGAATTCATGTACCAACATCCATAAGAACTAAGAGTGTAAAAGAAAAGAATTTACCATGTCGCTCCTGTAAAACGAAAGTTCTACCACCAAAATGTGAAT